TGTCAATAGTACCATCGACCCAGATGACCTGATAATTTTCAGCCATTCGTGGTCGTCGTTGTCTACTCATTTTAGATGTTGTTTTTGACGTTTGCTCGACGATTGAATATTGTGAAGGATCAATTGTTGTTTGGATAGAGACTACTGTTTTCTATTTATATATTCAATATTGGATGCTTTTTTTCTAGATTATTCTATGACGTCAAATATGGGTGCGTATTTTTTTTTGTTGACACTCAAAGATAAACCCTACCTACTTTCAATAGAAAATATGCTTGTCAAAAGCAAACGAAAGAAAAAAATCCAACAACATCATTTATCTTATCGTTATTCTTTCCAACTTTCATTGGATTTTTTTTCTGTTGACTTTTATTTACCCTATAAAACGAGGCTGACAATGCAAGATAAGAAGAAATTAAGCAAAATTAAATAGAATGATAAGAATAAGATAGCAAGAAGAACGATACAAAGACAATAAGTGGAGGTATAATCATCATAAACTTGTAGGCTAGTGCGATCTTATGTTGCGATGTATGTGCCTAGGTAGATGGGTTTCCGAATGTGAGTATGGGTGGATGTGGCTGTGGGTGGATGCAGCTGTGGGTGTATGGTATGGATTGGTGCTGGTGGATGCGGTTGTGTCTGCAGTCCTGGTGGGCGTTGATGTGGGTTGGTACAGCCGTATTTATGAGTAGTGGATGGCTATGTGGGAGTGTGGCTGTAGATGTGAGAGCGGAAGCGAGTGACGTGAACGTGGTTGTGGGTGTTGATGTAGGCGCGGGTATGGGTGTAGGTGTGGGTGTGAGTCTTCTCTTCAGCAAGCACGCCCACGTCCACCGACACCCACAGTCACACTCATGCTTTCATTCTTCTTCAAGTTAAAAACCTTGTCGATCATGTGAAACAGTAGAGTTAATGGTTATAGTTGGCGTGAATGATGTCAGGCCTCTTCACGCACTCATGTCAAGATAGATAGATAGCGTCATCTGGCAACTTGTATTTTGAAAATTTCCATTCCCTTCGAACCAGCCATTGATTTTACTTTTTATCTTATTTCTAAGGGTACTCTTGTAGGACTCACTTCATTCTAGCTCTTTGATCATTAGTAAGTCGACTACAGACTAGAATTCTACAAGGTTAACATCAAAATGACTGAAAAAAGAAGTTTTCCAACGGATGCATGCCGTTTTTGTTGATATTTTGCCCATATGTATAGTTTGATGATACTAGAAAAAAGTCTAGAAAGATAACGACACATAAGCTTTCCTTCTCGAATGATGATCATTTTACTTGCTTTACCACCTATGACAAGGGATTCAGTGAAAAATCAGCTTTCATGCACATGCAGGTCTTATAACCTATATGTTAGGCTTAAGGTGGCAGTCAAAACAAATGATTCTGTCGTGAAATATTGATTTTCCATAGAAGTCGATTTTCCTGACATGTATGTAGCATGGTAATGTTTTCTTGATAACGCAATATTTCGAGAAAGAGGCGTTTGTTTTTGCTGGAACTTTTAGGCTAATATATTGGCCATAGGACTTGCATGTGGACAAATTTTCAGATCGAAATTTCTCAATTTGATTTTTTGCTGAATCCCTTGTCCTAGATGGTAAACCAAGTAAAATGATCATAACTTGAGAATGAAAGCCTATGGGCTGTTATTCTTTTAAGTTTTTTCTAATCTCGTCGAACCCTACATATAGGCAAAATATCAACAGAAACGGCATGGATCAGTTGGGGACTTTTCCTTGAAAGTCTTGTATCATTACGAGCTCTTCTCAAAGATTCGCATAGGTTTGAGAAATTACTTTTCCAAAAGTTTTATTTTTATGCTCTTTGATCACCAATTAGTTAAGAAGCCTACAATGGATATATTATGTATTCAAACAGGCTCGACAAGACACCATGAACCCCTGTTTTGTTTTTTAACAATGATACAGTATGTCGTTTGTGTCGCAGGAATTAATCGCAGAAAGAGAGAAAAAAGTTGGTTGGCGCACATGCTTTTATTCTTCTTTCGCGGAAAGTCGATGACTTTGCATACAACACACTTGAATAGCAGTCTTCACTTGCATAATAAATGTTTGATAAGAAAACGAAGAACGGAGCACTTTGTTAGCTGTCATCAGTGGGTTTTATCCAACTTACAAGTAGAACAACACAAAGTCAATACACAGGTGAAGTAACGCTGAATCAGTAAGCATTGATGGCTGTTACAGTGGGGAGCCAGGCGAACATGTGCGAAAATATTCTTTTCTAGAATCTAACCGTTTGCGTAGATACATGCATATGTGATCTATCATTTCCTAAAATAGTGGTTCTCAAAGTTTTATAAAGCCTAAGAAAAGAGCTCGCCAAGGCTTGCGCTCCAGAAATCAGCATAAATAAAGGAAACCAAGCTACTAGGCAATATGAAACAATATTGCACACCCAAACAATATCACAAAAAGCTTCCGCATGGGTAGACCTTATGTTTAAAAAACAGTGATGCAAATTTAATTTAAAACAGAGTAGAAGACAAAGGATCTCGAGATCCAAAACCTATTTGAAAACATATCGTTCCATATATTGTAAGCACTACAAAGAAAAAACGTTGAATCGAGCGCGCATTTTTATCAGACGTTCTTACGTATGTAACCTACTTATGATAGTGGCGCAAACTTATGAAACCTTTTCTAAACTATTTTACAGGAGGAAATCCGATTTTTGGCACTGATATTACTCTTTAAAGAAAAACTATGGTGATATTCGGAATGCACGCATTACACTACTTCGAGTGATATTTAGTTCAACATATTTTTCAAAACAAATTGTTTTCGGAAAATTATAGCTGAGGTACTCTCCAGCCAGATTTTTTCGTAAAATTTTCTTAAAAACTTTCTGTTTTCTGAAAGACGATTCTCTGAATGATATATGTTTATTTCTGAGCAAAACAATTGTATGTTCGCCTGCTTATGCGAGAACTCCCCACTGTGCTACAGGTATTCAAGGACTATTATATAGAAGTATCCTCAAATCCTTAAGCCCTATCCTGCAGCGATAACCGTAAGTAGGTGTATCATAGATTCAGCTCAGTTCGCTAAGCTAGAACTAGTCAGCCAGCTTTGTTCGCATGAGCTGGGTCTGTTGCACACCTAATAATCAATTGGTCTTTAACAACACAAGAGCTCAAGGCTTACCCAAATTTTCAAACATTTTCTCCGCCGCATATACTACTTGTGTGTCGAAGATACTCTATCACGCAACTCAATTACCTTCAGCTAACAAAAAAGCTTACTCTTACTTGCTAAAGCAAAATTCAAGTACACGTTTCTTACATTACTCATGAACCTAATATTTCTTAACGCATTCAAGATCAGCTAATATATGGCGTATAAGTGAGATTCTTACCAATTCTTTAGACAACGCCTGAAAGACCATGACAACTTAGGATGACTCCAATGTACTCTCTCTAATTAGTTCTAATTAGTTGGGCACTAATTAATTAATTAACTAACTTACAGTCACATAATGCGCTCACAGCCTATGGCTGTAATTGATAGAACCCTACTATGGGCTGTTAAGTATAAAAATGGACTGGCGTGAAGTGAGATTGAAATTTAGAATTTACGCACTGTGAGGCTCACTTGGTCGATCACATTTATATACATAGGAGTATCATTAGAAATATGGCTCTGACATTCTACTCGATGTAATTATGCTTATTGAATGAACTTATAGATTAAATCGTCAATGAGAAATGATTAACATGAAGAAACAATGAAAACAGGTTATAATCGGCGTAAAAAATACGTCGTGATGAACTTTGTTGAAAAAAGTTGATTGACCCAGGCATGATTTTTCTTAGATATTTTCACATAGAACATAGAGTTTATTACGGGCTATCTTCTGATATCATAAAATTCCTGAGAAACCCCATATTTTAATTCAAAGATCAAAATACTTTTAAAAAAACGCAAAAAAACATGAAAAAACATGGTAGGAAAAACCATACATTTCTTTATTAAAAAATCATCGTATTAACCCTTTTTTCCTATAATATGATGTTTGTGTGAAGTCGACAGAAAAAGAGATGCTCTTCCTTTTGACAACGATCAATACTATATTAATTCGTGGAATAATGCTTTAGTTTTACAATATATTAAAAAGTACCAAAAATAAAAATTATCATTTTGCATTATAACTCTATAAGGCCAGTTACCATGACATACGTCATAATTCAATGAATCATTATCAGATCGAGTTAATATTTCGGATTTAGTAATATCTATATACGACCTTTATTTTCAGATAATTAAATCCAAAATCAAAAGTTTTACTCCAGTCATGTTGTCTGGTATTCTAGGAGATCCTCTGCTAATACTCATAAAGTAAATTAGAAAAAGAAATAACAAGGTAATCATTTGAATAGACTGTAGCGTACAACTTGCATGGTCTATTTTTTTGTCTTAAGTTTCACTTGATACCATATGAGGTTCAATGTCTTAGTAGAGAGATCTACGTTTGCAGTCAAGCACCGTCAGAAATTAGAGAAGTATGGCATTGTATCTAAGTTTCTTACATCGAACCTAAACTATTTGTATTATTCAACCAATGATTCCGATTCCAATGTAGATAAGAATTTCGATGCTGATGCTGAATATATCCAATGGATCGACTAATGAGAAAATAAGTGGAAACCAAGAGATATTCAAAATAGAAGAAAATGGTTTCAATGGAATGAAGAAAAGAGAAGAAAAGACAAACTTCTTCACGAGCTACTTTCATATCATCTTTTATATTAGTAAAAATAGTAGATCGAATAAAATAACCTTTATCACTAACTTTTTTACCCGATCGAATACATTCAAGAATTGTTTCTAATTGAGTATGACTGTTTTGTAGAATACACAAAAGACATCAATGCTAATCTGTTGTCTTATCAAATTGTTTTCTGAATCCTCAATCAGTATTTTTTTCCATAGTTTAGATTATGACACTTTACTTGAAATGCTTTCCTATACGTATGGTCCTTGTTCAGTTGTAGAATCAAATGGATCACCAACAATACGTTTCTTTGCTAATTCGACACTTTTAGACACAAAGGCATCGTGAAGTGTGGAATGAACAAATATTCTTGATGCAGCAAAACATACTTGACCTGCATGAGTAAAAACTGCTCTATGAGCAGTTCGAACAGGAACATCGACTAAAACATGCAAAAACAAATTAATTCTATCGCTTATAAATCTTTTTCGCCACTAGAAAGCACATTGAAAATGAAAGTAATAGATTATTTAATACATACGATCATATCTTTACAAATGATAAATGATGATTTACTACCTATATGTGATGAAAATGGCAACAATGCAGGCAGGTAAGAAAGATTATTTTAATAACTAAGTTCCAGTGAAACATGCTTTAGATTAGTTTTTCCTGCAGTTTCTTGAATCTTTTTCCCAGCCTAAAACAAAATATCATGTGCTTTTGTTATTCTGTTTTTCATTTGCACTAATCTTGCCTAGAATGAATCTGTAAAAGCTATTTTATTAATCCTTTCATGAATGACCACAGTTAGGTCCATGACTTACATATGTATATCGTTATAAGAGTTGTTTTCATTCTGGTGATGTGTATTACCTGGTACATTGTTAATAATACCTGGTGGAAAACCAGCCTAGATTATTGATTTAGTATTAGAATAAATTTTGATCGTTGATAGATAATGAATAACACTTCTTTGATGACAGAAGCACAAAAGAGTGCAGTAAATGCTGTTTGTTCAGCTGATTTGAAAATAACTACATTGTCTATTTGTTATTGCAATATATAAGAAAGTGTAAATTAATAGAAGTAATGAAGTTACCACAAACTAATGCTGATCCAAGTTTCAAGGCCAGCATAACAGTCTAAAATATAATGGCAACAATACTTTTGTATGATGCATATGTAAGAAAGAATATCGTACTGAATAATCGCTGAAAGAAGAAAGTACAATTTGAATTTTCATTTATTGAATGTTTGAACTGACTATGAAGTGATTTGTTCATAGATCCCAACTGGTTCATGTCTAATATAGGTAATAAAAATACTTAATTCTGATGGAAGTATTTCACTAGTGATTTTATCAGCCCATCCAGCATCTGTAACATGTGAATATCATCGATAATAATAAAAAAAAGAATGTCAGAGAGGCTTACAATAATCAAGACAAACAGCTGCTCCAAGAATCTCGCAATAACTCTCTTGTAGCAGTTTTTCACTACTCAGTGTTTCTAATCTCTGAATATTCATTTATGGTGTAGATGCAAACAAACAGAGTGATCATTTTTACTGCTAAATAATCCACAACACGTGGAAGTAAATTAGCAAGTTTACGAATTAACTGAGCATGTGTAGCAGGATCAAACTTACGCCATGGTGAATCATATTGGAAACCTTTTTTAGCAGTTTCAATTGATTTATCAGGATCACTCTACAATATTGAAAACAATAAAAATTATACATAGAACGAAAATAATCATATGCATATGTATATTGATACTTTTGTGCCTTCTTCTACTTGACAAATTTCTTCATCTGTGCTTGGATTAATGATAGAGAACGGATTCATCTTTGTCTACATGATTGACCTTGATTTATTACATAAGAAGAAAAGAAAGAATGGACATATATTAACTCGTTCCTTTATCTGCTTATATTCATTGCTGTTTCAGTTGCAGATGGTGTCTTCAATCTTATTGAATGATTCAACTTATGAAACCAATTTGGTTAAGAGAAAACAAAAATTTGATAAGGTAGCACACCTGAGTATTGTAACAAGTCTTCGTGTCAATGTGGTATTTTTTAAAACTTGTCTTATCGATTGGACTTTGCGACAACCGAAGAACAATTTTTCTAATAATGTATGTGTTTGATATTGCACTTCACTATAGAACTATTTTACTAACAGGTGCAAATCAGATCGTTCTTGGTATATGCAAAACCATATTCTTTTGATGTGATTCTATTACTAAAGATCTTATCAGTTCGTTTAATGTGAAACACTCAATATATGGAGGAAGACTTCCATAACGAAATTGTCACGATGGAAGGAAGGAATTTTTAGAATGGCGAAGATTTCAAGTGAATAGAACTAATTTTCATAACTGTACGCTGGATTTCGAAAGCGTTGTAAATAACAGACTAAAACATTCTCTTCACCAATATCATATATCTACGTACGTGATTTCAGCTAACAAATTAGCATTTTTTACAAGAATATTATTGTTACTGTTCAAAACTGATGCCACTTAGATGATAAAGAACAGGAACAATCAAAGAATTTATCATATATAAAAACTTCTTTAAATTCACTATATATATAATCAATAAGTAATGTTTTACGAGAGCAGAAAAGAATCGATCACATTTTTCCTTCTTCAATAATCAATTTGTTTCTTTGTATTGTATTTCTTTAAAGTTTTTTAAACAATAAAATTTAAAATGTTATTAATTATGTATCTTAAATTGAAACTAGATTATGATCATTCATACTAGTTATTACCGTAATTACGAGTTGTTTCAACTGATTGTTCGTGGTATTCTATTCTTTGCACTTAAATATTTTATTTAAATTAGATGTACGTATTAGTGAGACTTTCGCAATACATGGAAGAGTTTAGAGAGCAAACTACATAAATGTTAGAAAGTTAAACAAGAAAATCCAAATAGCTGTTCTTCATGAAAAATTTGTATTGTTTTTCCTCAAACAAGTTTAACAACAATTGTTTTTACTTGATAGTATGCTTCGAGATCATATCGACCTAATTCTCTTTCATAACCTGATTGTTTAAAGCCACCAAATAGTGCTTAATTACATATAGCCTTATAAGTATTTATCCAAACAGAGCCAGGTCGTATTTGATGAGCCAACGTAAGACCACGTCTTACTGAAAAAACTAGAATAATCATCAATAATCATTTCTTTCAAATTTACTGTCTCTAGTTATCACTCCAGCACCAAGTCCAAAAGTCGTGTCGTTTGCTCGTTTGATAACTTCTTCATATGAATCATACTTTAAGACTGATATTACTGGACCAAATATCCAAACTCTTACATTATTATAGAATCTAATAAAAAAAAAAAAGTTATATCTCTTCACGAGTAATTTGCATATCATCTTTTACATCTCTAAAAATAGTTGCTTTTTGATAAATAATCTTTATTATCAACTCGTTCACTACCACATTCTAATTTATCTCGAAACTTTTAACCTGATTCTATATAGTCAAAAATCTATTGAAATTAACTATCATTTATCTATCATACACAAGTAAAGGGAACTTTTCTTTAGATTAAAGAGGTTATTACTTGTGATCCTTGTTCAGTATTAGAATCAATTTGATTATTTGAAAGTCTTATAGAATACTCATCCTCATCCTCAGATGATCAAAGGAGATTTTCCACCGGTATGTGAAAAGAGAATAGCTCAGATGAAAATTATCCTGTATTTGTTACTGACCAAGTTCAAGTGTAACACATTTAAGATTTGATGTAGTTGCTGCTTCTTGTATTTTCTTTCCAACCTTCAATCAAACATTTCACATTCATTTTTTTTAGTTTTATTAGTGAATGTTCTTACTTCAACTGAACTAGTACAAGCTACTTTATCAATATGTGCGTGAACAGCAATTGCATAACCACATTCAGGTCCATCACCTAAATATTCTTATGAAATTATTATGACAAATATCATTCACTTTACCTAGTATGATGTTGACAACACCTTGTAGAAAGTTAGCCTAGATCACCATGACAACAACAAAGTATAATCGACATGATAATATCTTACCTCTTTGATAAGAGCAGCACAATAAAGTGCACTAACAATGGAGATTTGTGTACTGTAACCGAGCTAGACTTGATATTTTAGCATCAAAAGATAG